TCCACAAGCATGACCTTACACTTTGTGGGTGCAAAATGCATACCAAAGGACGGGATGACTTTGGTCAGTTCATCCAAGAATACTTGCGCCTTCTCGTCCTCTTTGAACATGAGAACGATGTCGTCTGCATATTCCAGATCGACAAGGTTTTCTCCACAGGCTATTTGAACACCAGGGCTTTGGAGACCTTCCAGCGTTCGTCTCATGATTTCATCGATCACGAATTTAAACAAGAATGGGGAGAGTGGGCACTCCTGACGGACACCAGGTTATGTTCGGAAGCTTTTGGAGAGTTTGTGGCAGCTGGTATCCACAGCAATTTTTTTCGAAGTATTCGGCCCACTGGTCGAGCCGTGGCTCTTTATTCAAGATGATCACTCCTTTCCCATGCTTGATGGTTCCGCTCACAGATGGTTTCCAGGGGCCGGTCGAAAGGATCAACTAAAATAACCTTCAGGCATCACCGGTTTTCTGGGCCTCTTCCATTTCTTCGGTTTTCTGGGTCCGCCACACTTCACGGTCGGCTCGCACGGTCACTTTTACTTGAATTCTGATGATTCGGTCTGATATCCAATGAACCTGGCGTCGCAGTGCCACAGGGGAAATTCCCATCACTATGCAAAGATGTAGCGATCTCGCTCCAGTATGAGTTCACATCTGATAGTAAAGCATTGGAAAGACACTAGAAGACGATTCTGGTAAATTCATCTAATGTCCGGATCTGTCAGTCTTTCGGTTACCAACCAATTTATGCGCACCTCAAGGGGCCAAGAAAAACGTAAGGAGAAATAGGTACGGACAAGTGCGTGGTCGGAATCTACAAATGTGTTCCAAAACGACCGACAGTCATTGACCCGCGCCATCGGTAACTGATGGCAATGTGATCGGTCTAAGTTTGTGGCCCGTATGCAGTTCACACGCTTTCCGCATGAGCTGGAACATCTCGATAACTCCCCATTCTTTTGTTTGTTGCCGATGAATACAAAGGCTAGCATAGCTATCCCCCATGAATGCATTGGAATCAGATTTTGGACAGCTTCCCACCCACCCATAGACAGACAGAGCGCTGGATACTCGCTTTCGCCCTTCTGTTTGGTGTGAATTGTCACGAAGAGACTGGATCCAGTCGCCTTATGACGGTTTGCGAACATCCATAACCCAGTATGAGCTATGACACTCACAGCCCATGATACGAAGTGTGCCAATGGGTAGAGACTGGACTAGCACAGTCTCCTAGTCCTCCAAGTTGGGGGATGGAACACGAAGGGTGATCTACTGTGACGGTTTTACGCCAACCACCGCTGTCTGGTGGTTGGTACGCGCTCGACCGGAGTCGCTTCCCCCTCCGTTTTCTAGGACCTCGTAGGGTGCAGAAATATCGCTTAGCAGCTGAGAGACTGGGGGTCCAGATGTTAGGCGGAGTTGCTAGGGTCGTCTTCTGTATTCCATCAGATGTGGATTCGTTCATTTATGACTGCATATGTTCTTTCAGCGCCACCGAGCTCCTGGTCCGTAAGACCTCCCATCCGCATGGTTCAAAGATGGAAGTGAAACCCTCAATCAGCGCCTGTCTGGTATGTGAACGCATTTTGGAAAGGGAGACTGTCAGACAACTGGGAAGAGTCGGTGATAGTGCTCATTTCTAAAACAAGGGGCTCGTGGTGTGTGTGATGGTCACAGGGGGGCCAGCTTGACCCCGATCGTAACGAAACTACTGGCGCGTTTCATCGATTTATGGTGGCTCGTGAAACAGACTTCAGAGCAGTAAGCGGAATTCCGGCCAGGCAAGGGTTACGCTGATCAAATATTCACACTCCGTTAAGTACTAGAACAACGCCATACTTTAGTGTCCTGGATTTTCAAAGCGCATTCGACCAGTTGACAGGTCTATTCTGCCTTACACGCTCATCCAGTAAGGAAGGAACACCCGGAAGATTGTAAACATAATAGATTTTTTCAGCCTTCCGGGCGTGTGAGTGTACGGAAGGTTCTTCAAAGGTTTCCGAACACAAAGTGGTGTCCTCCATGGGTGACCACCCTCTCTATTCCCATTTAATTTCGTGATCGATGAGATGACGAGACAGACGCTGGTGTTCAACTAGCGGCCAGCGAAAACCATGTATATCTGGAGTATGCAGACTGTGTGAATGAGTGTTTCGAGGTGTAGGTAGCCAGGAATGATTGTGGTGAGCCAGCACTTAGTCCATTCCCCATCCACGTTTATTCTTTTCTTCACAATAAGGCTTTCGAAAAATCATAGCTGCATGGCAGCCAAGCTGTGTTTGTGCTGTCAATCATGGTGGTTATGCTTTTGAAGCACAAGCATTGGCAGAGCACCTTGACCATGCTCTTGTCTAGATCTTGGCACTGTGGCAGTATCCTGACCCACAAAATGGCTCAGTGATTAGAGCGCGAATTCATTGACCGGAAGGTCCGTGGTTCGAACCCGATCTATGCATCTCGACTTCCGTCTATAATTGGGCAACCTGACAGTATCCCAACCCTCAGGCTTCCTTCGGGTGGCATGGCAGCTGGGCAGCGAAAATGCATTACAGATGAAAAACTATCTTCTTATCTTAAGACTGAATTACGCGTCTCCAAACAAGCCCAAGACGCATCAACCGCTGCATGGTACCCAGTCGTCTGACTCGCTGCATACAGCAGAGCGATTAAGCGGAAATAGGCTAATGCTGACGGCTTTGTTCTTTCTCTTTTTTTTCTAACCTCTCTCCACTCATTGTTGTGGGCCATAATTTGAGACTGACGAGCCCACTTGTCTTGCATCGATCTCGGCCGCAACATGTATGGGCCAGTCGCAGCCGATTACCTCAGGCATCGCGAAATCAATCTTCAGTCCAGTCTATTTGGCTGTCTCTAGTGTTCACACTCTGAAATGGTTCCGCTCACAGATGGTTTCCAGGGGCCGGTCGAAAGGATCAACTAAAATAACCTTCAGGCATCACCGGTTTTCTGGGCCTCTTCCATTTCTTCGGTTTTCTGGGTCCGCCACACTTCACGGTCGGCTCGCACGGTCACTTTTACTTGAATTCTGATGATTCGGTCTGATATCCAATGAACCTGGCGTCGCAGTGCCACAGGGGAAATTCCCATCACTATGCAAAGATGTAGCGATCTCGAGTATGTATGAGTTCACATCTGATAGTAAAGCATTGGAAAGACACTAGAAGACGATTCTGGTAAATTCATCTAATGTCCGGATCTGTCTTTCGGTATCTCGCTCCAGTATGAGTTCACATCTGATAGTAAAGCATTGGAAAGACACTAGAAGACGATTCTGGTAAATTCATCTAATGTCCGGATCTGTCAGTCTTTCGGTTACCAACCAATTTATGCGCACCTCAAGGGGCCAAGAAAAACGTAAGGAGAAATAGGTACGGACAAGTGCGTGGTCGGAATCTACAAATGTGTTCCAAAACGACCGACAGTCATTGACCCGCGCCATCGGTAACTGATGGCAATGTGATCGGTCTAAGTTTGTGGCCCGTATGCAGTTCACACGCTTTCCGCATGAGCTGGAACATCTCGATAACTCCCCATTCTTTTGTTTGTTGCCGATGAATACAAAGGCTAGCATAGCTATCCCCCATGAATGCATTGGAATCAGATTTTGGACAGCTTCCCACCCACCCATAGACAGACAGAGCGCTGGATACTCGCTTTCGCCCTTCTGTTTGGTGTGAATTGTCACGAAGAGACTGGATCCAGTCGCCTTATGACGGTTTGCGAACATCCATAACCCAGTATGAGCTATGACACTCACAGCCCATGATACGAAGTGTGCCAATGGGTAGAGACTGGACTAGCACAGTCTCCTAGTCCTCCAAGTTGGGGGATGGAACACGAAGGGTGATCTACTGTGACGGTTTTACGCCAACCACCGCTGTCTGGTGGTTGGTACGCGCTCGACCGGAGTCGCTTCCCCCTCCGTTTTCTAGGACCTCGTAGGGTGCAGAAATATCGCTTAGCAGCTGAGAGACTGGGGGTCCAGATGTTAGGCGGAGTTGCTAGGGTCGTCTTCTGTATTCCATCAGATGTGGATTCGTTCATTTATGACTGCATATGTTCTTTCAGCGCCACCGAGCTCCTGGTCCGTAAGACCTCCCATCCGCATGGTTCAAAGATGGAAGTGAAACCCTCAATCAGCGCCTGTCTGGTATGTGAACGCATTTTGGAAAGGGAGACTGTCAGACAACTGGGAAGAGTCGGTGATAGTGCTCATTTCTAAAACAAGGGGCTCGTGGTGTGTGTGATGGTCACAGGGGGGCCAGCTTGACCCCGATCGTAACGAAACTACTGGCGCGTTTCATCGATTTATGGTGGCTCGTGAAACAGACTTCAGAGCAGTAAGCGGAATTCCGGCCAGGCAAGGGTTACGCTGATCAAATATTCACACTCCGTTAAGTACTAGAACAACGCCATACTTTAGTGTCCTGGATTTTCAAAGCGCATTCGACCAGTTGACAGGTCTATTCTGCCTTACACGCTCATCCAGTAAGGAAGGAACACCCGGAAGATTGTAAACATAATAGATTTTTTCAGCCTTCCGGGCGTGTGAGTGTACGGAAGGTTCTTCAAAGGTTTCCGAACACAAAGTGGTGTCCTCCATGGGTGACCACCCTCTCTATTCCCATTTAATTTCGTGATCGATGAGATGACGAGACAGACGCTGGTGTTCAACTAGCGGCCAGCGAAAACCATGTATATCTGGAGTATGCAGACTGTGTGAATGAGTGTTTCGAGGTGTAGGTAGCCAGGAATGATTGTGGTGAGCCAGCACTTAGTCCATTCCCCATCCACGTTTATTCTTTTCTTCACAATAAGGCTTTCGAAAAATCATAGCTGCATGGCAGCCAAGCTGTGTTTGTGCTGTCAATCATGGTGGTTATGCTTTTGAAGCACAAGCATTGGCAGAGCACCTTGACCATGCTCTTGTCTAGATCTTGGCACTGTGGCAGTATCCTGACCCACAAAATGGCTCAGTGATTAGAGCGCGAATTCATTGACCGGAAGGTCCGTGGTTCGAACCCGATCTATGCATCTCGACTTCCGTCTATAATTGGGCAACCTGACAGTATCCCAACCCTCAGGCTTCCTTCGGGTGGCATGGCAGCTGGGCAGCGAAAATGCATTACAGATGAAAAACTATCTTCTTATCTTAAGACTGAATTACGCGTCTCCAAACAAGCCCAAGACGCATCAACCGCTGCATGGTACCCAGTCGTCTGACTCGCTGCATACAGCAGAGCGATTAAGCGGAAATAGGCTAATGCTGACGGCTTTGTTCTTTCTCTTTTTTTTCTAACCTCTCTCCACTCATTGTTGTGGGCCATAATTTGAGACTGACGAGCCCACTTGTCTTGCATCGATCTCGGCCGCAACATGTATGGGCCAGTCGCAGCCGATTACCTCAGGCATCGCGAAATCAATCTTCAGTCCAGTCTATTTGGCTGTCTCTAGTGTTCACACTCTGAAGCAAGTCCTACAACAAGCTGCTTTGCTTCTACACTGCGCTTACTTGACAATGATGTGTTCTGCGTATCAGAGAAAAGGATTCAAATCCTAGCATAGCTAAGATTCCGCCACGAAGTAGCATGATCAGCTGCTTCCAACGCTGCTTTTAGGTCTAGGAGGACAATAAATGCTTCCCTCCTATACGTGTGGCAATGTGCGAGTTGTAAAGATGTCAACAATGTACCGGGACCCGGATTTCACCTACCGTTAGTACCTAGCATTTTACTTCCCTGGTGAAGCTGTTTGTTCGTTGAAAGTTATGTTTGGCATTTCAGGCCAGTTGAATTATTCTCACAAGTGCTCTGCATACAGAAACAGCCGAATGGATGTGGATCACAATTTGAGTCATCTTCCTCCGTAATGACTCCATTGACTGGCAGTTTTCCTGGCCCAGTATTTCGGATAAGTTGGAGAGCTGAACTGTTTGCAACCACCTTTTTCATTTATTAGGTTTTCCTTAACCACAGCTTTTCCAGTCAGTCTTGAAGCTGTGGCTCAGGCGTTGATTTAGAGATATTCTCAGCCAGTTCAGTTCAGTTTTTCACCGTGCACCGAAGTCCAGAAGTTCCAACTGCCTCAGCTTCTTTCATCGAGGACGAGGAGAATAAGCGAGTGAGAGCCACGCATTGCAGGCGATGTCCTAACCTATGTAAATGGGGGTAAAGCTGGAGGGAAGGGGACAGTACTCCAGGAGAAATAGGCTGAGCACGGTGATAAGCCTTTCATATTCGATTGGCTTAAGACCGACAATCATTTTCGTAGCAGCTCGCCAGACACGCTGGACGCCCCAATGAGGAATACGCCCTCGTTGCGCTCTGAGTGAACCACATGGTTGGCGTATTCAAGAGGGGGTTTGACGTAGGCCCCATAGAGACTCTTGAAGCCCACGCGATTATCACAGGAGAAGGTGCGCTGAATCATCCGTAGAACAGCGAATACCCTTTTAGCCAATCGACACGGCGCGGGGAGAAGGACATATTTCAAGGGAGTCAGTTACCTGACGACAAACAGGTCTATTTATCCTGTTTGTCATGAGATGACA